GGGACGGGGTCCGAGCAGGCGGCGGGATGGGGCTGCTGCCTGGTGGAACACGCTGGTTTTGGTTAAGACAAAGAAAACAAAATTACAAAAGTGGCTGTGTGCTTCCCCCCACCCGCCCCACCCGCTTATCAGAAGGTCCTTCTCTAATTCTGGCCCCTGAAAATTTGAGAGGATTTGTCGATTTCTGGTTCGTTTGCACCCTTCTCCCTATGTAATATTGACTGAAGGTTACTGAAATCGGTGGTTGCTATAGGCCACTCTGTTTATGTCTACTACTACTAAAACAATGTCAGAAGTGACCTGATTCCTGAATAGAATCATAGGATCTTTTAGGTTGGAAAAGACCTTTGAGATCATTGAGTCCAACTGTAAAATAAAAGGAGGGAAAAAAGAAAGAGGAATGAAAGAAGGAAAACGGAGGGTGAAGGTTGAAAGCAAAATCTGAATTCTTCCTTTTCTTCCTTGGAATCTTTAAATAACTTGTGCATTATCTGGACTTGTGGCTGAAGGCTCAGTCAATGCTGCAGTCTAGTGGCTAGAGAAGCCCAAGACCAGAGGGGTTGTGGAGTCTCCATCCTTGGAAATACTCAAAAGCCATCTGGATGTGGCTTTGTATACATCATGATTCTATATCACTTCACATAGCCTGAGCTAGTTGCATTGCATTAGGGTTAAATACTGGAAAGTATGAATTTGCATGTGTACCGCTTTTCCTTTTTTTTTTTTTTTCCTTGACTGTCTTTATGTTTTGATTATAGATTACTTTAAAAACTTTTGTCTAGAGAAATTGATTGCAGCAATGTTTTTCTAGATCCATATGCTCAACTTCTTCTTGAGGCTATGAAGCAATCTGGTTGGTACGTAAACTAATTCATCTTGTTCTTTGTAGTAACGTCACTATTACATGGAGTTACTGGTCTCTTTCAAATTCTTCCCTGTAATTTTGTTTGTTTGGGCCTTTCAGCACTGTCTTCAATGACCGGCACTTTTCTTGTGAAAACTGTGATGGCTGTGTCAGTGGAGGTTTTGATTCTGCGACGTCTCAGGTAGGCACTGGGCATTGTCTTCTTTCAAAGGAAGCTGATATCTGCTGATATGCTGATATCTGAGTTAAAGGCATGAAAGCAAGATAAATGAAAGTTGTTCCATGCTATTGGAGCTAGTACACAGCAGAATGATGAGGCTGTTAATGTTGAAAAACACTGATCTAGAGAGCCTAAATGCTGTAGGTGGTGTGTGCTGGGTCTCTGAGAAGTAAGGGAGATGCTGAAATTTGATGACAAGACTACCTATGTTTTTTTTCTTCTACAGATTGTTCTGTGTCAGAACAACATTCGCCACCAATCCCATATGAACCGGGTGGTCACACATGAATTGATTCATGCTTTTGATCACTGCCGTGCACATGTTGACTGGTTTAAAAATGTCAAGCACTTAGCATGTTCGGAGGTAAGTTAAAATGCTTCTAATGTTGTCATTATGTTAATTACTTCTGATTTTTAGGGATGGTTCATGTTTAAATAAGCATGCTGTTACACAGACTTCATTTGGTTTAATCCTGTTAATACGTTTTGTCCTTTCTGTCAAGTCAACAGTTTCATTCAGAAAGCAAATACTTAGTTTTCACAAATATTACTAAGTCAGTGTCATACTAAACAGAATATGATCACTTTGTGTGTAACCATCTCAAGAAGTGGTTATTAACAAATTAGGGTAATTAGAGGTGAAACCATATTCACACATCAATCAAACGTTTATAAGGTTCTTTCCTGCCCCCCCCCCCAATTCTTGGTGCTTTGTGTAGTTATCACAGTAGTATGGTAACCTTGATTTTGTTTAGATTTTTTTGGTTAAAACCAAACTTGTCTTTTCCTATAATGTACATTTTTTTATTAATTATGATGTTGCTAATAATACACTTCAGTTATGACTTCATGCCCATTTCAGAGGACATAGAAATTTGCTGCTTGGAAGGCCTTAAAAAAACTGATGCATTAGGAGGTGAAATTAAACTGAGCATAGGGTAGTAGAGTTTCTTCTTGTGTACAGAACTTGTATTCACATGCTTTTAGTTGATTTCTGATGTAATCCATATCATTTGACCACAGAAAAGCTTACCCTTATGATTAATATTATGAAAGTACATTCTTGTGACTGTGTGAATTAGGTGTTTTTTTAACTTTTTTAAAAATACAAAAAATGATACTAAAAATATTAATGTGGCTTTGTTTTGATTTGGGTGTTTTTGGTTGCAGTTTTTTTGTTTGTTAGTTTTTAATGAGAACATATTTGATTCCAGACTTAAGATGTGCACGTTTCACCTATAAACAATATATGAGAGGACCAAAATGATGAGTTTGGTACAGAACAAATCAGATCTCATAAAAATGAATTTTAATTCATGAAATATTTCCTGTGGAAGAGACTCACAGTCATGTATTATCTTTACCTTTTTATAGATAAAACTTAATGAAGTGATCTTATGTGGTATCAGTAGAGCCATTCTGTATAACTGTGGGTGGTTGACCTTGGCTGGCTGCCAGGCCATTCTCTGACTGCCCATCCTCAGTAGGACAGGGGGGGAAAAATAAGATTAAAAAGCTCATGGATCAAGATAAGGACATGGAGGTCACTCACCAATTACCATCATGGGCAAAATACACTTGACTTGGGGAAGATTAATTTAAGTTTATGCCTGTTAATGACAGAGTCTGGTAGTGGAAAATAAAACTAAAAATATCTTTTCCTCCCCATCTTCCCAGGCTCAACTTCGCTCCTTCATTCCTGGCTCTTCTATCACCTTCACCCCAAAGTGGCACAGGGGGATGAGGAACGGGGGCTGGGGTTGGTTCATAACACTTTGTCCCTGCTGCTCCTTCCTCTTCACACTATTTCCCTGCTCTGGTGTGAGGTCCCTCCCTCGGGATACAGTCCTTCATGAACTGCTCCAACATGGGCCTTTCCCAAGGGCTGTTGTTCTTCAGGACCTGCTCCAGCGTGGGTCCTTTCCACAGCGTACAGTTTTCCAGGAATGGACTGTTCCAGTGTCAGTCTCCCATGGGCCACAGTTCCTGCCAGAAAACCTGCTCTTGTGTGGGTTCTCCATGGGCTGCAGCTTCTTTCAGGGCATCTCCATCTGCTCTGGTGTGGGGTCTTCTTTGGATTGCAGTGTGAATATTTGCTCTGCTGTGTTACTTCACAGTCTGCAGGGAGGCAGCCTGTGTCGCTATGGTCTTCTACACAGGTGGCAGGGGAGCCTCTGCTGTGGTGCCTGGAGCACTTCGTCCCCCTCCTTCTTCACTGACCTTGGTGTCTGTGGGGCTGTTTCTCTCATGTTTTTCTCACTCCTCTCTCTCACAGCTGTCATGCAGTGGTTTTTATCCTTTCTTAAATGTGTCATCACAGAGGTACCACTGGCACCGCTGAAGGGCTCAGCTTTGACCACTGGCGGGTCTGGTTTAGAACCAGCTGAAACTGGCTCTGTCTGACTTGGGGGCAGCCCCTTGTCTATTCTCACAGAAGTCATCCTGGCAGGCCCCCACTGCCAACATCTTGCTGCATAAACCCAATACAATAATTCAGAATTATTAACTTATCTACTTTCTTTTTTTTTTTTTTTAAGATTTACTCGGTGCAGAATAAAGCATGTAAGCCTCAAACATAAAATTAGAGAACATATATAAAACAAGATTGTGCTTGTTCTTGCTTTTGTTGAGATTATTTGTTTGCTTCAGGTCTCTTGATACTTATTTTATTATATGGTGTTTACAATTTTTATTGCCAGCTTTTTAATTTTTACATTTCATATTTTCCATGCATTTATTCTCACTCTGGTACTTAATTATAGGAAATCTAGTTTGGGTTATATTTCCTAACTGAGGGGGTAGGGTGTGGAACAGTTGGCAGATGAAAGAAATCACAGTGCACAGAACAAGATGGTTAACAAGCTAAAACATACATACTCATTTAAATGTGGCTTTTACTAAAGTAGGTGGGTTACTGCTCTTCTGGGTATTGCAGCTGTAGCCTTTGAAAGGTATTTGCCTTTCTTCCTGACTCCTCTAAACAGCTTCTGATATAGATTGGGAAGAATATTACTTTCCATTAGCAGTTCATATGTTTGTAGAAAGAGAAACACACACACAAAAAAACCCCAAACCTCTTCTCCTCATTCATTTAAGCTTTGGGAATATATTAAACTTGATCCCTGGAGAAACTTACAGGTTATGTAGTAATACTTTGCAGTTCATTGAGGCTGAAAGATTGGATATTAAGGGTAATATGTACTTAATAAGCAGAAGTGGCCCTGGGAATATTCTCTACCAGCAGTCAGCGGAAAGATATTGAAGAAAAAAATTTGTTACAGCTTTTTTGACTTTGTATTTCCATGCATTTCTCTGATCATGTGGCTTTTTTTTTTTTTCTCAATAGATTCGAGCTGCTAACCTCAGTGGAGACTGTACACTGATGAATGAAATAGCCAGGTTTAAATTTGGCTTAAAAGGACACCATCAGGTAAAGACCATAGATGTTAAAGTCTTTTGATTTGTTATGAGCCATCTTTATCTACTTGATCTTGGCCTTCATAGCTGAAAACATCAGAGAAAGAAGTAGATGCCATGGACTTGCTGCTTTCTCCTAACTAACCTTTAATAACCTTTAATGTTTCGTGATAAATTTGTTTTTACACCTTGTTATTTTTGTTGGAGTGAAATTCCTGAATATTTAGTCATATCGTAGAGCATTACCACTGACAATGGGTGGTTAATAAGAACCAAACAAAAAACAGGGTTTGCAGGAAATGCAGTGGGAATACCTTACCCAGTAAAATGTCTTTGAAAACTGGAGGAAGGAGAATGATGAGGGTTTTAAATAACCATATGTGTTAAGTCTTACAGGAGTTAATTTTTCTTAATAGTAATGAAGACTGTGGGTTGAGTCCCGAGTGGTTGCTCATGTTAGAGTGGCAGTTAGCTTGTAGCTGTGGGGATGTTTACATCTTTTTTTTTTATCTTCTAGTAGACAAACTGTGTAAGCAAATGTTGCCAGAAAGAGCGGTATTAAAATGAAGGCCTGTAGAGGAGTCATTCTTTTATGTTTTATAGCATTTCAGTTAGAAAAGTATTTATGTCTGTTTCTTTCTGACATTCTCTTGTGTCCAAGTCAAGTTGTAAAATACTCGATATCTACAAGTGCCAAATTATATTTTAATTCCTGTTCTAAGGAGTGTCTTACTTATCTGATGGTTATTTGCACATGGAAAACTACAACATAGTTAACACAGGATGGAACAAAAATGTACTTTAGTGCTTATTACAGGCATTGTTTGACTCTTCTGTGATACAAAATTACTGTGTATGTAGTAGGAGTTAACACATGACAATCTGGAAAAAAATTATTTATACTAATAATGACAGATTTTTCTTTATGTAATTCCCACTTTAGACTTGTGTACGAGACAGAGCAATTCGTTCCATTCTGGCTGTTAGAAAAGTTAGCAAAGAAACTGCCGAAAAAGCTGTGGATGAAGTTTTTGATGCCTGCTTCAATGATCTGGAACCTTTTGGAAGAATTCCGCACAGTAAAGCAGATGCAAAACGTGCTTATAGAGACTTTCAGAACAGAGATCGCTATAATGCTAATTTGTAAAGGAAGAAACATGACAAATTATGTCAATATCTGATTGTTCTGTAACATCTGGAGTTACAGTCTACACACAGCAGTGCTGGTGGAAAGGGTAATTCTATCAAATGTATGAACTAATTTTGTAAACTTTTTCCAGGAGCCAACTTCCATGGAAGTAAACAAAGTAAATGAATAAGACCAAAACCCATGTTTCCTCCTCACCTGTTATTCCAGTGAGATAATGTAGTACACCAAATTACTTGTCAAATAATGATCTGCACATTTAATTCTGGTCAGTTTGACTAGGATGACTAGGACTTGGTTTCTAAAAGTTTGTTGTTACTTGTATTGGGTTTGTGTAGCAGGGTCTTGGTAGTGGGGGGGGCTACAGGGGAGGCTTCTGTGAGAAGCTGCTAGAAGTTTTCCCTGTGTCCGCTGCTGGCCAAGGCCAAGCCAATCAATGACAGTGGAAGTGCCTTTGTAATAAAATATTTAAGAAGGAAAAAAAAACCTGCTGCAGCTCAGTAGCCAGGGACAGAAGAGAAGTGAGAGGATGTGAGAGAAAACAGCCCTGCAGACACCAAGGTCATTGCGGAAGGAGGGGGAGGAGGTGCTCCAAGCACTGGAGTGGAGATTCCCCTGCAGCCTGTGGTGAAGACCATGGTGAGGCAGGCTGTCCCCCTGCAGCCCATGGAGGCCCACAGTGGAGCAGATATCCACCTGTAGCCCATGGAGGACCCCACACCAGAGTGGGAAGGAGGCAGGAGGCTGTGACCCTGGGGGAAGCCTGCGCCGGATCAGGTTCCTGGCAAGACTTTGTAGACTCATGGGGGAGAAGCCCATGCTGAGGCAGGGTTGCTGGCAGGGCCTGGGGCCAGGGTACCCATGTTGGAGCAGTCTGCTCCTGAGGGACTGCACCCCATGGGAGGGATGGACCCACGCTGGAGCAGTTTGTGAAGAACTGTGACCCCGTGGGAAGGACTCACATTGGAGAAGTTCGTGGAGGACTGTCTCCTGTGAGAGGGACCCCACGCATGAGCAGGAGAAGAGTCCTCTCCCGAGGAAGAAGAAGCAGCAGAGACAACGTGTGATGACCTGACCCCAACCCCCATTCCCGTCCCCCTGTGCCGCTGGGGGGGAGTAGGCAGAGGAAACTGGGAGTGAAGTTGAGCCCAGGAAGAAGGGAGGGGTGAGGGGAAGGTGTTTTAAGATTCAGGAGTTTTTATCCTTTCCTCTGATTTTGATTGGTAATAAATTAAATTAATTTCTGTTTTGCCCGTGATGGTAACTGGTGAATGATCTCTCCCTGTCCTCGACCCACAAGCCCTTTGATCTACTTTTCTGTCTCCTCTGTCCGGTTAAAGAGGGGAGTGATAGAGCAGCTTTGGTGGGCACCTGGCGTCTAGCCAAGGTCAAACCACCACATACTAAATAAATCTTTTTATGAAATCTTTACATTTCCACCATCCTTGATACACACTCATAAACTTGTTGATCTTCATCACTCCATATTAAAAGATGGGCACCTGAACTACAGCTCTTGGGTCTAGATTTCATAACTATGGCTAAACCCAAAATTTAATAAACTGCTACCTCTGGTTTTGACCACCTCCTGCAATTCTTGGAATTGCAGCTCATCTAATGTTAACTTTACAGGTACATTTAAGCCCTTTGGCTTTTTTAGGAATTTGACTGATGGCTCTGCTTACCAGATCAAACGTACAAGCTGGATAAGCATTGATGAGAGTCTGTCCACCAGGCTGAGCTTTGCTCAAAATGTTGGTGTAGCTTATGCTCTTCTTCCTATACTTGTTAGGTGGGTAAGTAAGTCCATCTGAGGAAAGCAAGAAGCTGCTAGCTTCATCCTAAGTCTGAGAGAAGCTGTCTCATTCCTCTGTTATTGCCAGATATGAGGTAGTATAGTCATTGTCATGGATGCAAGAGAACCATGTTTTCTTCTTTTTCTTGAAACTGAAGGTGTGACTTGACCACAGGTACCGTTCACTGATGTAATGGAGATGTGGGTCCCCAGTCAAAGCTTTGTAGGCATAGCTGCTGTGACAATTGCTGGATCCAGACTCAAGTGGGAAATACAAACTCAAGTTCCACAAAAGAGGAAATGGTGCCTTGATTGTTAATCTTTCATACAAAGTGCAAAACCTTTCAGACAGGCTTTCAACTTCATAGGATGTCAAGGTCTGAGCAGTGGTGGTGGGTGAAGTTGTTCACAACTGCAGAAGCGTAGAATTGCTGAGGTTGGAAGGCACCTCTGGAGACGCTACTGTTTCAACCACACTGCACAGAGCAGGGTCAACTACAGCATGTTGCTGAGGAGCATGTCTAGCTGGGTTTTGAATATCTCTAAAGGCAGAAACTCTATAGCCTCTCAGGATAACCTATTCCAACATTTGATCGCCCTTGCAGGTTTGTGGGTTTTTTTCCTTCTTGTGTGTAAATGGAGTTTCCTGTATTTCACTTTGCGCCAGTTTCCTCTTGTCCTTTCCTTGGGTACCACTGAGAAGATGCTGGCTCAATCTTCTCTACTTCCAGCTTTGCCTCATCAGGTATTCATACATATTGATAAGACCTCCCTGAACTTTCTCTTCTGCAGGCTGGAGAGTACCGTCTCTCAGTCTCTCTTTGGTCAGATGTTCTGATTGGTTTATCATCTTTATGGCAGTTTCCTGGACTCACTCTACTTAATGTCCATATCTTGCTTGTACCGGGAAGCCCAGAACTGCGCCCAGCACTCCAGATGTCTCACCAGTGCTGAACAGAGTGGAAAATCACCTCCCTCAACCTGCTGGCAACACTTTCTAATGCAGCTCAGGAGGATCTTGGCCTTGTTTGCTGCAAGGCTGTGTTGCTTGTATACAAATTGGTGTCCACCAGCACTGCAAAAGCCTTTTCTGCAAAGCTTTCCAGCTAGCTGATCAGTCCATGTTGTGTGCTGGTACCTGGGGTTATTCCTCAGCAGGTGCAGGAGCTGGCATGTCCCTTTGAACTTGATGGGGTTCCTCTCTGCCATGTCAAGGTCTCTCTGAATGGCAGCACAAACCTCTGGTGTATTGACCACCACCACCCCCGGTGTTGTATTGTCTGTAAACTTGCAGAAGTTGTACTACTGCTGTCTTCCAGGTTGTTAATCACAGAATGGCAAGGGTTGGAAGTGACCTCAGGAGATCATCTGGTCCATCCCTCCAGTGCTGGCCCTGATACCAATGCCTGGGGCACATCACTGATGTCTGGCTCTATTGTGTGTAAGCCCCAGACATGGTTAAAGAAGGAACATGAACTTGGGAACATCTCAGGCAGTTTGCATACATGCACTCAGGAGATTTAAAAAGTTTGAAAATATCAACGTGAATTATTCTGTTCACTTACCTTAAGTGTCAGAAAACTATTCCAGGCGTGTTTAATTTATTGCTCTAGGTGTAATGATAAGTCAAATACCTGGAACCTGGGTCCTCAGCACAAGAATCTGCCAATCCTGTTTGTTCACATTGAATTCAGTCAGGCAAAACCCCACTGTTCTACTTCTGCTATTTCCAGATAGTTTTAACTCCAATAGGATGTAACCTGCTACCTGGATGGGCTTAGACAGCGTGTAAGGTCACCATGCAAGCTTGTAGTTTGAACCCAGAGCTCAGGCTTAATCACTTGGAAGAATAGCTGCATATATATACAGGCATTATATATATATACAGGCATTTTATTTGTTCTCTGTTTATTGTAAAATACAAAAGCAGTCCTGGGAGACCTGGACATCGAGGTCCTTCAGCCCAGGTTCTCACTCACCCCCTTCCAAGAGAGAATGTTCCAATCACAGGGCCACAATCCTGTGGTTCTGGTCTTGCTTTCCTTGGCACTGTGTGTTTTGATTTCTTCAGTTCTCTTTCTCAACAAGGTTTGGAAAGAGCAAGAAAACTGGATGAGAGTGGAAGTGATGACTATAAATATACTGGGAGGGGGAATTTAAGTCACAGTACAAGGTTGAACAGTTATGAAATGGTCATGGTTAATTTAAATAGGAAATTAAAAGGTAGTATATAAGCATCTGAAGAGTAAAAGTATTCTAAATAAGATGGAAAACAAGGAATATGTATTGTTTATACTGAGGATGAAAAGCTTAGGGAAAAGGTTGATCCCAGAATAAGAAATGTTAAGTCCTTTAAGTATTCCAAAAAGGATGAACTGAAACTAGATTGTGGTGTATTCACATTTATCTGCATTTTATTTCTGGTTTAGTGAGCCTGCATTTCAGAATTTCTCCTGGTCATTGGCAAGGTTGTAAAGGAAAGGGCTGTTCTGCCTTTTTTAACCTCTGCACCCCCAAAGATGTATAACTTTGGTTCCCAGTTCTTCACTGCCCTCCCCTGCAGCACTGGGGAGGCCACAGTGATAGGCTGAGTAAGGTTGAGTTTAGGACGAGCTCATAGATTTGAGATCTTAAACCCTTTTAGTGCCACCTTGGTCTATTTTACTCACATGTTCAAGGTTAAACTAATCACCAAATTTGAGATCAGGAAAGGAAATTTTCCTTAATTTGGTAGGGATGACTGGGATTTCTGTTGAGCAGCCAGACGCTGTGTCACGCTGCTCAGCCACTAGCACGCAGCTTTACGTTTGCAGCCTGCCATTACTGCTCTGAAGGAAGAGTCCTGCCTGATAAGTCCAGTGCTGGGCTGAGCTGTGGCCGTGGCAAGGCTGGGTGAGTCTGGTCCTCAGAAATGAGATCTGAAGCAGGCCATTACGCCAGCCCAGTGCAAGCTGCCCTGCACACTGGGGTGTTAGTAGGGAGTTGGGCTTCCTGAGCCCACAGTGACCTCTGGGACAGAGTTGCCAGTGAGAAGGACAGATCTGGAAGGAACAGCCATCCAAATTGCCTGAGAATTTCATGTTAAGTGATGGTTCTTTTTGTTGCAGGGGTGAAGCTCACTGGCATGACCTCGAATGCTTTCTCTTTCCCACCTGTGGCATGTTTGTCTGCAATGGAAAAGCTTTTGTGACGTGAATCCTTTATGCCCTGAATTGCTGCTCGTGTTCTGGTTGTCTGGTTGTGGAGGGCTGGGCATGAAGGTCAGTGTTACTGCCTTCTGTTCTGTGTTCCTATATGTTTTGTGATGACAAGATTGTTAGTGTACGAAGCTTTTTCAGGCAATACCCAACTGTGTTGGTCTCTTCTCCCAAGTAACAAGTGACAGAACAAGAGGAAATGGCCTCAAATTGTGTCAGGGGAGGTTTAGATTAGGAAAAAATTTCTTCACAGAAAGGGTTGTCAAGCACTGGAACGGGCCGCCCAGAGAGGTGGTTGAGTCCTCATCTCTGGAGGTGTTTAAAAGACATGGTGCTTAGGGACATGGTTGAGTGGTGGACTTGGCAGT